TAGTTTGAGGACCCCTGTCCTTTCACATTCAGCACTCCTCATTCCTCTATCCCAGGAAATGAGCAGGAAGAAGAGCTCACACCGGTCACCTTCTCTGAGCCCCACCCCCTTTCGAAAGGAACCGATGAAGGTGACCCCAAAAGATGATCAGTTGCAAACACTGTCTCCAGTCACTGAGCAAAGTGGCCCCAGGACCCCAGCTTTCCTAATTGACAATGTTAGAGAACAAGAGTGCTCAACTAGAAAATGCTCTCCCCAAAAGGGCACCCAGGATTCCTGGATGTGGGCATGCTAGACAGATCCCAAATACATCCCCTACTGTTCAAAGAGTATGCACCAGAAGATAACTGCATGCCACCAGGACAGAGATGGCCACGGTGGCTGCAGCAAGGGGCTCACGCAGAGAGCACTGATGACGAGGGCCGCCCAGGACCGGGCGGGCTCTCATTCTGTTGTACGCAGGGTCCCGCCGATTCCGAACCCCCTCGATGGCACTGACAACAGCAACAGGTAGATGAATAAGACACGGTGACCAGCCGTAACCGCACAACGGTCACAAAAGCAGGACCTTTACATTGAATGATGACTTAAACTTTAATACCCCTCTCCCTCCCCACCCCCAGCAAAAAACACCCATGGTCATCAGGTCGATTCTCACTCAGAGGACCCCGATTCCTAACAGTAGCAAAATGACAGTGATGGAAGTAGTGACGGAAATAATGTTACGGTTGTTGGGCAGGGGAGGGTCACCACTACATGAGAAAGTGTCTTAAAGGGTCGCGGCATTAGGAAGGTGGAGAACCCCTGGTATAAGGGCTTCCCGAGGCTGCAAATCTACCTGAGCAGACGGCCTCACCTTTCTCCTGAAAAGCAGGTGGGGGTGGTGGGGGTGGTGGTGTCGGGGTTAGAACCACTGCCCTTGCACTTAGCAGCCCAAGGCTTACCTGACAGCCCCACCAGGGACCCTTGCTTAAACTTTAGCAGTCACAGCAGTTTTGAACCTCACAGCTCAAACACGTCCATGACCTCCTCACCAGTGTCACTGCCCCACTGCCAATGTTCAAACCAAGTAAGGTTTAGCCCTTGGTTACATACAGTTTGCCCACCTTGGTACTTGAGGCATACGAGCCAGCTCATTCTTTGCTGGGGGTGGTGTCTTGGACACCGCAGGATGCTCAGTAGCATCCCTAGCCTCCGCACTAGAGACACACCTTCTGATCTGTGTCCCCCACGTCCTAACAACAACCATAACAAAAGTCTCCAGATACTGGCATAGATCCCTATGGGATAAGTCATACCACACCCTAACTCCCAACCCCACCCCATTTTCTGAGCTACTGTGTAATGGAAAGGGATTCATGGTTTCCTTCTAGCACTGTGAGTGACCTGGGGAAAATATGCAGTCTGTGAATCCATTCTTTAACTATGAAGCAACGGTACCTACTTCCTTCCCTTCTCTCTCCACCCACCACTAAGTCGGTACAAAGGAGACCGAGTGAGTTCCTGTGTGTGAAGGAACGTCACAGGGCCAGGCCACCAGAGGAGAAAGCCATTTCTCCTGGAGTAGGCCATTACAAGCCAAAAGGTTTCCTGGGGGGAGCCTTCCAGAAAGAAGGCGCCTGAGTAATCTACTTGGTGAATTTAAAGACATGTTGTTAATTAGAAACCATCTTTTCTGAGCATGTCCCAAGTCCAAAACCACTCTCTCATGACGAACGGCCATGAAGCCGGAATGCGGTGCGGCTAAGGCGGACTGTTACCACCAGCCCCCACCTCACGATACACACACACACACACACACACACACACACACACACACACACACACCAGAAAAGGCAGAAAAAGCTCAAAGGAGCCTGCACTGTCATGGTTTTCAGCAGCAACAGTAACAGAAATAGCGAGTAGTGCCAAGTGGAAGGTCATGGGGTGGCGGTCTGCCTACAGATTCAAGAGAAATGGAAAGGGGATATAGGCTACACGCTGAGACCTGGTAAAGCCAAATCTAATGTTCTCATTCCACGTCACTGAGCTTAGGGGAGTAGCCGTGATGGCTGGGGTCCAGCGACAGACACTCACGCGGCTATTTGATGTTTAAAAAAAAAAAGATCCAAGTACACAAGCACAAAATAACAGGCTGTAATTGCAAAGGATTAGACGTATCACTTTATAATTATCGAACTCAGCTAAAACCAATAAAAATCATGGAACTGGAACTTAAAATTATAAGCCTAAACATAGGCGGGGCAGGGGTAGGGTGTATGGGGACGTGTGTGGATATTTCTGACACGACAGATGAGTGAGTGAGATGGAGACAAGGGTTAGAAACAAATCTGGGCCTATGCACCATGCCTCAGCCGGCAGATCAACGCAGCCAGCACACGCGTCATCGCCGGGCGGTGGTCTCCTTGTTGCTCCTGTTCACTGCCGGGAGGTTGCACTTAGAGCAAATGGCCAGAAATCACTTTGGCAAGACACATCAAGATTCGTTCTAATGGTCACCCTTTTTAACTTAGTGAAGCCTTATCTGGGATCCAGGAAAGGATATAAAATATTGAATGTGCTTTAAAAATTAATATAGACCTTCCGGTATGATGAAAATTGAAAAATGGGGAGTTAACAAAATGGACCAATGAAATGGGCGTGGTCAAGCAAAAAAGCTGTCAAGTGCATGAGGGTGCCTCAGTTTGACAGAATCTTACACAGAAATGTAAACAGAATAGAACTACCCTGTGGGGTTTCTGAGAGGGGAAATCTTTATAGGAGGAGAACACCTGATCCTTCCCCCTCAGAATGGCTGGTGGGTTCACACCACTGACCTGTGGTTGGCAGCTTCATGTGTAACCCACTCTGCCGCTGCATGTGCTTGAGTTTTAATTATATACATATTCCCTTCCCATTTTTTATATCGATAATTCTAGAAGGATTCAGACTAAAATTCTAACTTTAATATTAGAAGAACTAAGTAACTAAAAACAATTCTCTTGTTTCTATTTTAAAGTTATATTGGGCGGTAAATGTAAAAATTAACTATAAACATTTTTTTAAAATAATGTGATGCAATTTATATTGGTACTCTCTGCTTAAACACTCCTTATTCTCAAGTTACAAAGACCGAAAAAGTAGGAGATAATGAGTTAGCTGTACTATTTTATTTCAGACTTTTCTTTTTCCTTTTAATTTTTCAATTTAATTTCATTTTTTTCTGCAACTTCTTCACTGTACATAGCCTGAATCTAAAGAAAAAGGGCTGTCCATGTTCCCCAACACACACCCTTCAAGAAAAGCTTTCAGTTCCCACTTTGGCCATTGGTTTCTCAAGAGTCCAAAGATCACATCTTCTAGAGCAGCACTGTAAGAAGTACTTTTACAGTGTCAGGCACGTTTCACGTCTCTTCACACCACTGGTTCTCTTTGCGCACCTGGGCTTCCTCCTCTTCGGTAAAGTCCTTTTTGATATTGAAGGTCTTGCGAATCTCCTCAGGCGTTTCCCCCTTGATCATATTGGCAATGGTCTTGCATGTAACATCAAGCAAACCCTTAATGTCTAAGTAGTTTGCAGCCAGAATAAGTTCAAAAAGTGTTCCCTGGTCAACTTTCAGGAATTCTTGGTCCCAAACTGGGATCTCATCTGTTCTTTTCTCTTGGTTCTCATCATCCTCAGGAGGAGGAGGGTCATCCTTGTGGTGGGTGCACGACTGAATGACCTTTTTTAATATCGCTGCACTCACATTTAGTAAAGGAACTGGATCATCATCTCCTTCATCATCCACTCCCAAATCTTCCAACATGGTCTTGATAGTCACAGATTGCTTAGCAATTTCCACATCGACTTCAAATACCTCGCCATCAGAACTCTGCAACTTAATTGACGGCCTGGTGATCTCTCTTCGGGCTGGGAGGCGTCAGCGGCAACCGCAGGGCGCGGCATCGGCCTTTTCCAGACGGTTCATAAGTTAACCCACTGATAGACATAAAAGAAGCTATTCGGATTCTGCATTAAAGGTGCCAAGCTCAGCTTTTTGTTTAGTTTGATATTCATTCAATTCACATTTTAAATGAACCTATCACTGGTACAGAAAATAAGAGCTTCAGTTAAATGCAATCTATTTGGTATTCTTAACCCTATAACCAGGGCCAGTAAATTGGGATTACAATAGCTTTTTTGCTACATCTTATCTCCTTTCTCCCTTCATTTCACTAACACAACTCTCTATAGGTAATAGTCTAGAACAGGCTCCCAAGCTTATATGGCTAATTGCCCCTTTTTCATTATATATATAAAAAAAATTACTCAGCAACGATATGGCAATCAGAAACTTTCATACTTTAGCCCATCATTCAGAATAAAGTTAGGCATCTGCTTTTGTGACGCCCCTGGATCATCCCGGCATCTTACTGATCCCTGCTGGGATGCCCACGTGGGAAACACTAGCTGAATAGTGCGTTGCTGTTGTCAGATGCTGTTGAGTCAGTTACAACTCCGTGACCCGATGCACAGCAGAAGGAAACACTGCCCCATCCTGCACCATCCTCACAAAGGTGGTTATAAGTTGGATACGATTGTGGCAGCCACTGGGTCAATCCATGTTGTTGAGGGGCTTCCTCTTTTTCACTGCCCCCCTCCTTTACCAAACATGATGTCCTTCTCCAAGGACTGATGAAAGCACACTCAAATATGAAGCCTCTCCGAGGGAAAGGATCTGAGTCACTGTGTCCCTATGCCTTTGTCGAACATCACCGGCGCATCTTAAGGGCTCTGGTAAACAGCCCAGGGAGACAGATGGGAAAACGCTCCGCAGACTGCAAAGCACTTGGCAGGGAATTACTTCCCGAGATTAAAGAAAGAATGAACCTAATGCAAAAACTGACCTCATATATAAAGTACACTTTGGCTCCCATGTAGATTCCCATGCGCACTACAGCACGGACAGCAGCATTCATGCCTGTGGAAGAAACATAAACAACTATTAGTTAAGAGAATGGAGGTTTAAATTACCCATTTATCTGTCAGTTGAAGATATTGTGGTGGCTTACGTGATGGGAAACTATGCCACAGGCATGTCAAATATCAGCAGGGTAACCCCTGGTGAACAGGGCTCAGCAGAGCTTCCAGAGGAAGGTTGGGCTAGGAAGAATGTCCATTGCTCAGGGATTCCAAATACAAAACAAAACAAAACAAAACTCACTACCATCAAGTCAATTCCCACTCAAAGCAACCTTATAGGAGAGGGTAGAACTGTTCCTTTGGGTTTCTGAGACTGTAACTTTTTATGGGAATAGAACGTCTCATCTTTCTCCCTCAGAGCAACTGGTGGTCTTGAACTGCTGACTTTGCGGTTAGCAGCTTAACATGTAAACCACTATGTCACCCCTGAAAGGCCTATGACTAGCATCAAAGCAATGTTAGAGATAATGCCAGAAGAGTCTCTCAGGTTGGAAGGCACTCGAGACATGACTAGGGAGAGCTGCCTCCTCCGAGCAGAGGCAGCCGTAATGTTAACGGATGAAGCCAAGCTTCTGGAATCTCCCTTTGCTTACGGAGCACAACTGAAAAGGAGAAGAAACTGCTAAAAACATCCATGAATATCTAGAAAATGGAATGTATGAAGTATGAATCTAGGAAAATTTTAAGTCTTCAAAAAGGAAATAGAATGCATAAAGATCAAAATACTAGGTATTATTAAGCTGAAATTGACTATTATGAATGAGACAATCATATGGTTTATTATGCTAGAGTGGCAAATTTCAGAAGAATGATATCACATTCATCGCTCAAAAGAACATTTCAAGATTTATCTTGAAGTACAACGCTGTCGGTGTAATATCTATGTGTCTACAAAGAAAACCTGTTACTACAGATATTATTCAAATTTATGCACTAAACAC